CATGCACATTGGACTTTACTTACAGAAGTATCAGAGCAAATGACTGTCATGGTGGAGACCAGCAGGACTCTCCTCTTCACTGAATGGGCCCGTAAAGACAGTGGTGTCCTCGAGGCCCAGGGAACGGATGCCAGCGCATGGGATAATCTACCAGTACGTAGCCGCCCCTGATATCATGTGAAAATGAATACCCCATTACTTGCTGCATCAGCCAGACTGACCATGTGTTTTCCAACCCTTTAGGACCGATTCTCCACCAACCCCAGGATCCAGGAACTCTTGAAGCAAGTGAAGGAAGACGAAGCTGCTGAGCGGGCTCGTCGCGAGTTCTACCACAACGCCAAGTTGCGTGACTAGAGATGCGATGTTGAGCCACCGAGTGAAAGCTTTGGCATCAAATTGTTTACATAGGTAGCCACGTGAAAGTAACACAGCACAAAATTGGACTGAATCCAATCTCCAACTCATAATTCTCATCCCAGTTCTACCATGCTATCGCTCATCACTCGTAATATGTGACGAAATCGTCGCCAATTCCACCTCCCGACTTCCTCCAGAAGGCCGACGTAATTTAGAATTACCCTTCGCGCCGAGGCATAACCCCCGATGCAAACATACCGATTGAACGAAATGGCGCCTCCTTCGCTGATGAACCTCCTTGCCGCATAACTGCAATCGCTGTGCTCCATGTTCCATCCGGGGAGTCCCTCATCCCCAATCTGATTCCAATCCACCTCGTCAAGTAGTTCCAGCGATGCCTCTGTGCCTGTCTCGAGCGTGTTCGGCGCCGCATACACGTACAGTCCCAGCACGAGCGCAGCGTTGAATAATGCAATCTCCGACATGAACATGGTGCCGTCTGATATTTTTCTCTTCGCCATGCAGACATAGACCTGGGCGGCATGGAGACAAGCACGCCTCGCATGCGCGGTCTGCGCCCAGACGAAAATCTTCTCGAGCGCCGTCTTGCCTGCTTCCATACCCTCACGCCCAGCCGCGACCTCGAACAGGTCGAGATTGGCCGTCAGGTTGACGCACATGTTGTTCCAGAAGGCCATGGCGTTGGGGTCGCTGGCAAGCAGACCCTCGTGGTCTGAAGCGTAGATCTCCCGGAGGAGAGGTGCGATAGCGGCTCCCGTCGAGCTTTCCTGGAATATCTCTCCAGGGTACAGGCTGTTCCTGAGCGGATCGGTGCTAGAAGGCAGAGTACGGTAGCGGAGGTCAGCGATGTAGAGCCATGTGGCTGATAGTAATGTGTGCATGCCCATCACGCTGGCGGACAGCGTCGTCGGGAGTGTTGCCTTGTGGCCCTGGAAGTCAAGGACGGGTGGATCTATGAAGGCGGCGGGTAACGTGGACGCAAGCTTTGCCCAGCTAGTTGCATCTACTGCGTCAAATAGATTTTCAGGGCAAGGAGCATGGATATGTAGCATATCCACTTGTGTCATGGGTTTTGGCCCGATGCTGGACGTGTACAAACAGTCGGTTACAACAAGGTACGCCACCACACTGTTGCAGGCGTTAACAAAGCCTTCCCACTGAGCGCCAGACACGCAAATTGATGCAAGAGAGGGACGACTTACCGTTTGGCTGATTCTACCCGCGCCCAAGACTTCCAAGCGGCGTCCGTTTGGCGTTCTTGCGACAGCGCCTCGCAGATGGAGGGGCCCCTGCTCACCTCGAAAAGGCCGCTCTGTTGGGCAACCTGAAGGGCATTAGCGCTTTCATTGTTTAATTGATTAATTGTTCATTGGCCGCCTTTCAAGGCATTTCAACCCATTCTCACTCACAGTCAGGGCTTTGGCGTAAAGTGCGTGCGTGAGTTCCGAATGCGCAACTTCCTACAAAAGGTCAAAAACTTAACCAACAAGGACCCATCCGCGGCACTTACTTCTAGGATTGACGCAAAATTGAGATACAGAATTGCAGAGCCGAGAACGGTAACTAGAGACATGGAATCATTTCTTTTCCAAGGCCTTGCTAGTGCGGCCGTACACCTCTCAATTCCTCTCTACAAAACCATAGAAATCAGTGTCATGACATCCATGGTAAGATACAAACATGTCAAGGCCAGGCTTACTAGAACCTGAGTTATGACGAAAGACCTCGTCTTATCCGGATCCAGTAGATGGAGGCCAATTAGACATATTGGGAGGAGAATAATGTTTGGTGTGCGCCTGGCCGAAAACGTGGGTTCGTGGATAAATGGAAACAATGGGTGAAATCGCTGGAAGTAGAGATCAATGCATACGGCAAAGGTGTCTGCGTCGGAAGGCCAGATTCAATCTGAAGCTCTGGTCGTATCATCCTGCAGATGTCAGCATAGTCAGCTAGAGAAAGGTCACGGAAGTTGAATACATACTCCGCCTAATCGAGACAGTGATAGGTCTCTGATTAGTGACAGACGCCTGTCGTCGTCTAGACCTCTCTGAGGGCCGTTGTCCGCATGGATGGGGAGTTTTCATCCCTTTCACCTGGTGGGGATTCAGAGAAGAGATTGGTGCCCTTCATGATTGGCGGCGTCATGCCAAAGGGTCTGTATCATATACCACGGCCGCTCCCTTCTTTTTGGCCACAGCCTGGCCACTTTCGCGAACCGCTCATCCGGTATATCGGAGCCGAAGCTATGTTTGCGGGCCGAATTCCCCTGAAAGTCTCTTATTAGGGGCGAACCCAAGGAGATGAGGAACGCATCCCACGGATTCGTGCTATTTGGCGGAGAAGGAATGGCGGCGTCAAATGTGGAAAGCCATCCGAGATTATCGGAATCTAAAGCCCGGTTATGACCCAAGGCGCCAAAGGCCGCCCGGGGCGCGAATCCAAGAATGACCGAGAGGTCGCTTTCCAATGGTTGTTGCGAGGCCATGGCTGCAGTGAACATTTCCCGTGGGGTGCGGCCCGCATCTCCTACAGAAGGCGAGAACAGACTGTTTCCTTCAAACAAAGTTGCATCAGTTGGGTTTGGCCTGTTGGTGCTGTTGGTATGCGTCGGTTGTGCCGGAACTGATGCCAAAAGCTCGTTGCCGTCGAAGTCGTCGTTACTCTCTGTGGGTGGATCAATGATCGCGACCGGGGTCCCAAAATCGAATTCCGGGTTTTGCACGTTGGCCACTGTAATGGTGAGGTTGTCATCATCGCCCTGTTCCGGCCGAGTGGCAGAGACCTTCCCCGTGTCGGTCGTGTTCTCGGCGTCCCCCGATGACCTCGGGGAGACACCAGATCCCGTCTCATCATCGGCTTGTCGACTGCTCCGGGGCTCTCTGCTTTCTTTGCCATTTTGGCCCTCTTTCTGGGCTAGGTGGCCCCTGATATGCCGCTTAAGGACATCACTAATTGCATCAAGACGATCGGCATCTCATTAGCCTTGCAACTCTCAGATGCAGATGGTATCTTGTTATCCTGGAATTCGAGCCGACTTACCCGCGCGCAAACTTTTTGTTGCAAAGTCGACAAGTGTAAGGTTTTTCGCCGGTATCTGTTCGCGCCTTCCTGTAAGCCAGATGTCACGGTCTCGAGTTCCGCGAGTGCCGCGAGTTCGGGGTTGAAATACGGGACCTCTCGTGGCGCTTCAGATGTTCAATCTTGGAGAAGCTGCCGTCGCAGTATGAACAGGTTCGAGCAGGCATGAAAGAGGGCCTGAATAGACTGGAGTCCTGAAGGGTTGGTGGGTGTATATCTCGTTGCAGAGGTCGGTCGAGGTTGTCGGGGTAGAGCGTAACGATGCTTGCCGGCGCCGCAGACCGAGCGACCGTGGACCTCCCACCTTACTTGTACAATCCCGTCGCCTCTACCAAAGGAGAATGGTCAGGGGGCTGCTAAGGCGGGGAACGTGGGGAGACCCCAGATCCCTGGTCTGACATCGCCCCTACTGCAATTGGACAGTCTAGGGGGCGTCATGCTTGTCCTGAGAAGGCCAAGTCCGAACTCTATTATGGAACGAGACCGTGGCTTAGGCGCGAGGTCCCCCAAGGGACTCCTTCAGTGCAACGGACATAGCCGAGGGAACCATGGGATACTTGATTCATCCTGAAGGACCAGCTGTATTTCTCACTTATTTTATTCCAGGTGTTTCTAGACAAACATCCAACAGCCCCACTGGCACAAGCTGAGCGCTCTAAATCGATCGGTAAATATCTCGTTTTCACCGTCTCAGCGACTCCATGTTTACTACTCCCTTATAATCAACGATGCTACCCCATGTCCTCCACTGATTGGCGAAACAAGTCAGCTATCTTACAAAACCGAGTTGGACAGATTAAATCGGCTTACCTTGTGCACATGCTGACGATCCCCAGTTCGCGATCGGATCGTTCCAGCTCAGCTAGCAATGTAGCCGCCTGTCTCGCTCCTGTAGCCGCTGTAGGATGCCCAAGCGCAATAGCGCCTCCATTAGGGTTGACCTTGTCGACGTCAAGCGACAGGGTTCGAAGAACATGAAGAATTTGGCTTGCGAAAGCTTCATTGATTTCAAGCACATCGATGTCCCTCAATTCGACTCCGGCGTACCTGAGCAACGCTGGTATGGCGAGTGCTGGTCCAACGCCCATCTCGTCCGGCTCGCATCCCAGCACTTGCGTCCCTGCAAAGCGACCGATGGGTCGCAGCCCCCGGGAATCGGCCCATGATCGCCGCGCGAGAATTACTGATGATGCACCATCTGAGATTTGCGACCTGCAACTTTCGTTACTTTGAGGGGAACGAGCACGCCAATTGTTCGTTTTACTCACGAGTTGCCCGCGGTGCTGGCACCATCTTCGGCAAAGGCCGGTTTCAGCGTCCCAAGCTTTTCTCTCTTGACGCCAGGCCTGATGGTATCATCCCGCGAGATTGTAAACGTTGTTGTCTGCTTCGTCCCATCAATTTCGACTGGCGAGCTGTACGTGACAGGCACGATCTCGGAGTCAAACTTTCCCGCGGCCTGTGCAGCCTCTGCCCTCTGGTGGCTCAGAAAGGCATAGTCGTCCTGATCCTGACGTGAAACAACGTATCGCCGAGCGACATTTTCCGACGTGATACCCATAGGAAGCAGACAGTCGGTTGCATGTTTGACGGTCGAAGCTTGAAGTGAAGGCGAAACATCAGTCGGACGGCCGCGGGACGCGTAGTTCTTCGACATGCTCTCGACACCACCGGCTAAAGCGACATCGATTTGGCCCGCCATGATAGCATGAGCTTGGTGTGTTATGGCTTGCAGGCTGCTCGAGCATTGTCTGTTAACGGTGTGGAAGGTTGTCGAAACAGGAAAGCCGCAATCGTTCAGCGCCATTCTGCCTGTCTTAGAGAATCCGAGCTCGGCGAGGACATTGCCGATCAGAACATCTTGGACGTCGCCAGGTTGAATATTGGCCCTGCGCGTAGCCTCCCGCATGACCTATAGGCCAGAATTCGCACTTTGTCAGCCCCGCCAGCTGAGTACTGGAGGTCGGCGGTTGGGTTTCCTCTTACAGGTCTTAGAATATCCTCCGGCCAAGCATCCTTGAACCCACCTTTGAAAGCCTTGGTGATCGGGCTTCGCACAGCTGAGAGGAATACCACATCATTGGGGCTTTTCTTCAGTACACTCTGTCCAACTGCTCGGAACGCCATATTTCTTTCAGCTGCAGTTTAGTGATGGTCCGGGTTCGGCGGGCTTCAATGTTGGGAGAAGACCATCAAACAAACAGTAGGTCAAGCTTCGACTGATTCACAAGCTTTAACTTTCCTCGGAAGGTTTATACAGGTAAGCAAAGGTATAAGTTAAATTGCTAATGGGGCTAGCAAGCTCGGTCGAGTCGGGTACATGATACTTCCAGCCCATGCGTGTGGGCAGCGTGGGGGAGTTTCGTGGATCGTCCAGCCCGGAGCTGAACCCCACATGGCCGCATCGAATTGTCGATTTGGGCGTCACCACATCATGGCATGGTGAGGCTCGTCGAACGTCATGTGGATTCGACATGTGGACTGAAAGACTGCAGTGCTTTTTATGATCCCGTCGTCCCAAGCTTCTGAGCCGCGCGAAGTCCCCTTGCGACCCTTACAAAACAAGAGATTTTGCCTGTTTCGACGCCGTGCAGCCTTGATCAAGACGGTCCTCGGCCAGTGCAAAGTACCACCAAATTCAACATGGCGACCTGGTTCAGCTCGGAAACATCTCACCCGGCTTTCGACATCAAGTCGACGCCCGCTGTAAGCTATGGGCTACCATTTCCTGAAGCCTGCGCCGTTCATGTCAAGGGCAATCTTTCTTCCCACCGCGTGTACATAATCGCGTCGGCAAGCTTGACACGCAATACGGATGCGCTGGACAGGTTGAAAAAGGCCTTGGGCGACCGAGTTGCGGGTGTCCATGTCGGAATCGGGTCCCACACACCGATCCAAGAACTTGTTCCCATCATCGCCGAGGCCAAAGATCTCGGCGTCGATTGCCTAGTGACCCTCGGCGCGGGTAGCATCACAGATGGAGCTAAACTCATCAGATTTGCGTTGGCAAACAAGGTCTATTCTGTTGCCGATATCTGCTCGATACGGGGAGAAAGGCCACACAACTGGATCCATCCCAGTATCCCCCTAATATGCATTCCGACCACACTCTCTGGGGGTGAATATCAAGCCATCGCCGGAGCTACCGAAGAGAAGAAGCGGCAAAAGATGGTGTTCGACCCCATACGCGATCCAGACCTCGTCATTCAAGATCCCGAACTCTGCACTACAACTCCGGAACGCATTTGGCTCAGCACAGGCATCCGAGCCGTCGATCATTGCGTTGAGACACTTTGCTCTCGACTGAGCAACGAAGAGGCTGACACGTGGGCCAAGCGAGGGCTCGAGAGGCTAGCGGGGGCGTTGCTCAAGTGCAAGCAAGACCCAACAGACCTCGAGGCCAGGCATCAGTGTCAGACTGGTGTCGTCGAGGCCATGAGAGCCGTCTCCTGCGGCGTCCCTCTCGGCGGAAGCCACGCCATAGGGCATCAGCTCGGTCCACTGGGGGTTTCTCACGGCGAGACGAGCTGCATTCTGCTGCCGGCTGTTTGCTCCTTTAACAGCCAGGACCCGATCAACGCGGAGAAACAGGCGGTTGTCATCCAAATTCTGCGAGAGAGTGAAATAATATCTGAAATGCTCGCTTCGGAAGATGTCGACCAGTCGCAAGCGGATCTGGCCACGGTTCTGGATGTCTACTTGCGCAACCTGGGCATGCCGCGTACGCTGGATGATGTAGGGTTCAACCCTGACAAGCTGGACATGCTTGTTACCAACAGTCTGACAGACCATTGGATCACTACGAACGCCATCCCGATCACGAAAGAGAGCCAAGTTCGGGAGATTTTAGCTAAGGTCACAGGCTAGGTCTTTCCATACATGGTAAATGATAATCCCATGCAATTGCAAGATATAACTGTCTCTAATTCACAACATGTGCCGAATAACCTGATTCGCCAGTCACATGGATCCTTGGGTTGAGAATCAGGATCTAATGCGAGTGGCTGTATTTGGGTTTGAGCGTGACACCTGTTCTGGCCCGGCAATAACCTCTAGTATGCCAGTAGGAAAACATGTTACCCAGCACCGGAACCAGGGTATCGAATTTCATGAATCAGAAGCACGTCGCTGACTCAATAGATCATAAAAAGCATGGCTGTTTTGGATGAGATGCTTATGCCAAAGTTTACTACTCCATCAGGGTTCCCTAGGATGCGTATTCGTGTGATGTGGGACATGTGGGAGGTTCGGATGTGGGACATGTGGGTGCATGTGGGACGAGAGAGCACACATGTGGGACACTCGTCACAAGACGATTCGCAGGCTTGGCGGCTGGATCCAGTGTGTTACAGGCGGCCCAACGCCCTGGAACGTACTTTCCCCAGGGGAGCTTAGCGCTGTAGAGGCGTACGTCAACCACCCTCTCGCCAATTCTCTGCCCAGCCCTCGCTTGTCGTGGTACAGATGAAGCATAGATAGTGCAATCAAATTTGATTTAGCATCTTGTTGCATAGCTGTCTTAGGCATGTCGCTAACAGCAGAGACACCTAGTGCCGACATGAGTACAACGGTCGTGACTTTTAGTGCTACTGGGGTGCAACACATGATGGTCCTTCGAGCATCAAAGAAACACTCATGATTATAATGGCGATGAACGTCGAACTGGGCCTCTGATCGGTATTGACACAATTTTCGGACGTCTATGGAACCCGCTTTTTACCGCGACGCCTGAGTTCATGCATAGGAATGAATGATGATCCAACTTATACTTCATATGCTTTGAGGTCAGGGGACACCTCAAAGTCTGCCTCGGTTTTAGCGCGAAGCTCATCCAGCGATACATCCTGCACCTTTTCAACCAACAACAATCCTTTCGGGGTGACATCAAACACAGCGAGATCGGTGATGATTCGAGACACACACTTGCGTCCAGTCAGGGGAAACGTGCATTCTGCGGGCACGGTAAGCCTGTAGCCGCGATCCCAGGACATGCTCAAGCATTCACTTACGTTTGAGAATCTTGGGGTTGTTCTTCTTGTCAACGTGCTCCTGGCGAAGCGATACGTCAGTTCCAGTTCAGCATGATGGAATATACAGAATTATCGTGACATACCATTGTAACAATGACTCTGGTCTTCGAGTTTGCAACGAGATCCATGGCTCCGCCAATGCCCTTGACCTTACCAGGCAGCATGAAATTCGCGAGATCTAAAATGTCAGAGGCCGGAAGCACATATCTTTTGTAAAGCTTGTCCAACACTCACCTCCGTCCTTGCTGACCTGCAAGCCTCCTAGCATGGTCAAGTTGATCTTGCCCGCGCGGATCATGCCGAAACTCTCTTGGCTGCCGAAGAACGAGGCCCCCTGATTCACCGTGACACCTTCCTTACCCGGGTTGATCAAGTCAGGGTCTTCTTCGCCTGGATTGGGATATCGGCCCATGCCCAGGATGCCATTCTCAGATTGCAAGACTACCTCGTTGCCCTCCTGGATGAAAGCGGGTGTTGCAAGAGGCATGCCGATGCCAAGGTTGACATACATGCCATCTTTCAGCTCTTGAGCAGCTCGCTTTACGATCCTGATCCTGCGGCCCGCGCCCTCTCCTGCTCCAGCCACTATGAATGAGTTAGCGACGTCGTAACAGCCATGGTGGCGGTGAGTATGGGGCCACTCACCCGACTTGAGCATCTCTTCTGGAGACTTGTGGTACGTCAGCTTTTCAATCTTCTTCTCTTCGGTGCTCTTCGCCACCTGGTCCACGTAAATGCCTGGAATATGGACGTCTTCAGGTGCAATCTCGCCGACTTCAACGATCTCATCTGCCTCGACAATGGTGTAACGGGCATTCTTGGCCATTGACTCGTTGAAGTTGTTCATCGCTCGTCGGAACTGGCAGTTACCCATACGGTCTGCTTTGTGCACCTTGACGAGGGCGACGTCTGCCTGGATGGCTTCTTCCAGGACGTACGGCTTTCCATTGAATACTCTTGTCTCTCGCGGTGTCGACATTGTGCCTACTGTTCCGTCTGTGTTGAATCGGACCGGCATTTCTCCAGACTGAACTGCGCAGAAAGACTCTCTTAGCTATTACGTCGAGCTACAATGCTGACAATGAGACTTACTGATTGTGCCGTACCCCGCAGGAGTGTAGAATGCTGGTACGCCGGCAGCGCCACTGGCAATCTTTTCCGCCATGGTTCCCTGGGGTGTGAGCTCGAGATCCAATTGACCAGTGAGGTACAGCTTCTCGAATGTCTTATTCTCTCCGATATACGACGCGATCATCTTCTTGATCTGACCGGTTCCCAGTAGTTGACCTTGGAAAGCGTTAATAGATGAAGCTGGTTGACCGCAATTCACGTACCCAGCCCGACGCCCGGCATGCCCGCATTGTTAGAGACAACTGTCAGATCTGTGATGTCCGGGCGATCCCGCAACGCATTGACGAGTGTGTTTGGCACACCAGAGAATCCAAATCCGCCAACAAGGACCGTAGAGCCGCTCTTGACTTGACCAATGGCTTCGGATGTTGATGTACACAATTTGTTGATACCAAAGCAGGTTCGAGTCGACGATATGCCTCTCCTACTTATAGAGGCACCAACACTGGGGGCGAACATTCGTGCTCTACTCATTGTCAAGCTCATCATTGTGCACGCTGAACCTATGCAAGACGAAGGGCAAGATGCGACAGCTGGCCGGCTCGTGAAACTGGTCCTACGATGGTCGAAAATGGTCACATTGAACCTTTCACCAAAGTTTTGTATCTACTGTACAGTGGCCAACATCAGAAGCTACCCCACCATCAACACCATCCATCGGCAAAGCGATGTGGGGTACTGGCCCGCATGCCGGAACACCGACTCCCCCACTCCCCCACCCCTCTTCATGACCTTCACCCACCACAAGGCTGGTGGCATGAAGTGCTCGTACATGGTCGCGGCGTCTGTGCCTCAAAGACCGACCCGAGAAGTCATACCGTCACCCCGATCAACATGGCGACGCCCGGTATCGCAACGGCAGTGCTCAACCATCCGGTGCTGGGGGACGTTCAGGGCGTGCTTCTCGAGGACGGCAACATCGAGCAATTCCGAGGCATACCGTATGCAGCCAAATCAGCAAGATGGACAGACCCCGTTATTCAAGAAGGAAAGCTCAGTACGGACCTATTTGATGCGACGCAGTTCGGACCTGCCTGTCCTCAAGGGGTGGGAGCCCAACGGGCGGACTTGAGCCTTGTCGGAGATCTCCCCGTGGTGGAAAGAAACATTGAAGAAAATGAAAATTCTTGTCTAAACCTGGTTGTTACCAGACCTCTGCAGATTCCCCAAGATACCAAATTGCCAGTGATGGTATGGTAAGGTGCAGCCAGGACCTCAGCACCGCCGATATCTCGCTCACAAGCCATACAGGGTTCACGGGTTTGTCGCCCTGTTTCATTCGAGTTGTTGGCGAAAGCGGCCGCGAGAGCTTGTGTATAAATTTCGGTACTGATCTAAGTTTAGAGGCGCGCTCTGTCTTGGAAGTAATGCCTGGCCTCAGTATGGTAAGCTCATCTCTGAAATCAACGCAGAAATCCAGTTTGGAACCTCACGCTCATGCTTCGAACTTCAGACCTTGTCAAGTTTGTCAGACACTCCCTAGATCATGGAAAGCCCGTTATTGGCGTCTCAATCAAGTGAGCTTCGATTTCTGGTGTGCTCATTGTGTATTGACCGGCGCGCTAACCAACCCCCAGCTACCGCGTTGGAATCTTCGGGTTCTTAGCTTCAGCACAGGCTGGTCTGCGGGGAAACTATGGACTGAAGGATCAAGCTTGTGCTTTCAAATGGGTATGGCGGGATGATGCAACACTCTTTAATAAGAAATGTTCTGAACAACATCGTCGCAGATTAAGAAAAACATTGGCGGATTCGGCGGTGATCCTAGCTCGATCACCGCCTTTGGAGAATCAGCTGGGGGAAGTGAGTGTTGCATCGAGAACGACGCTTTCATATATGAAAGGCCACTACTGATGCAATTGCAGTTGCTCTCTCCACACTCCTAGCAACGAGCGACCCTTTATTCGATCGAGTTTTGTTGATGTCTGGTGATATCACAGTCCGGAGGCCACAGTCAATGGCTTGGCAAGAAGCAATGCTTAGAGAGAACCTTGCGTATCTTGGACTGGACGAATTAGATCTAAAAGAAGCTGCCAACAAGCTTCGCTTTCTTCCGGCATCTGATATTGTCCAGGTGGTGCCGATGGTTCAGCATTGGAGTGCAACTTTGGATGGAGACTTCCTCCCGGGGCTGCGAGTGGTAGATCTCACTATAACGAATACGTGGTGCAAGAGCATTTTGACAGGGGACATGGCTCACGATGTACGAGGATATGGCTACGTCTCCCATTGCAAGACAAAACTGACGAACCGCGCGATGACAGGGCACTATCTTACGCTCGCGGTACTTGGATAAAGCGGATGCAAAGGATAGGACAATTGTCGCATGTAACGATATTCTCGGGTCTGATCTGACCCAGAAGGTCCGAACGGCGTACTTGCTTGATACCGACAAGGCCGCAACGGGTATGCTACTGCTCGCTTCAGAATTGCGGTTCTATGCGCCAGTATTGGCAGCAGGCAAAGGCTTCGGATTGCCCCACGATACCAAAGTCCATCAGTATCATATGGATCAGGTCAGTCAGCCCGTGGCTGGCTTTATTCTCGGCAGGTTTCTGACATTGCGTCCTCCTCAGACAAACCCGCTTCCAGGTGGTACATGTGGGTTTGCTTCGCATGCTCTCGATATTGCGTATCTACTTCGCAACTTCGAGCCCTGGCTCACACGTGAAGATGTCGAGTTGAGCAAGCGGTTCGCTGAGGCAGTGCTGGAGTTTGCGCACGACGGAAAACGAGACAGCGACGACGTGATAGCTGTGGGTCCCGATCACAAACTCGAGATTTTGTCCCCTGAGCAGTATGATGCCAAGTATCGGGACAGTCGAGGTAAACTACTCGCAGAGATTGGCTGGAAGAAATGCCTGACATTGGGGGAGCGACTTCAGGGGTTTCCTTATCCTGAGTTGTAAGCAGAGGGCCATGAAGCTGTGCACGCAAAGCCATCTCCATAATCTTGATTTGATCAGAGACCACTAATTTCTCGGCCAAAGTCCAAAATCTATGCGAGTATGCGGATAAAAAAACCAATGCTGGTCAGGCCGTAAAGTGGTGGTACATGTGGTGAACGCGGGCTCTGTCAACCCCACAGTGCTGCCATCCCAGTGAGGTGGGACCAACCGCCAACGTCCCACACCACTTCACGAGGTGGGTGTCAGCAGCCCTCGGTGTGAGCTGTTCAAAAGAGCAACAACATTCTGTGAGATCCTCATGCGAGAGCAATACATACAAAAAGAGCTTATTGGATGAAATTCATTCCTTTATTTTTCTGCATATCTGCAAATTCATCTTTCCCATCATGTTTCGAATGAACCTGGGGATCCGCTCAGCCCAGGCGCCGCGAGCTTGCCTCAGGGCCTTGAGATCTACACGCAGTCATTCTACAGCCAGCACCACAGCCAAGCTTCCATTGGACGGTGTCAAAGTGCTTGATCTGAGCAGGGTGCTTGCAGGTGTAGGTGCATCATAGAAACTTCCAGTTTGATTCGGATGGATGCTAATGTCGCGTCACGTTGTAGCCATATTGTACACAAATCCTTGGTGACATGGGGTAGGCTCTCCTTCGACACTGATTACTATCAGGATGTCATGTGCATACTCTATATTCTAAACAAGCCTTCGGCATTAGTGCGGATATCTTGAAAGTTGAACATCCGGTTCGCGGCGACGATACGAGATCCTGGGGCCCGCCGTATGCGCCCCGTTTGGACGGTGCCGATTCTGCTATTCCTGCTGGTGAAAGCGCATACTACCTTTCGGTAAGTTTGGAAAGAAATTCCCGAGACAAATCATCTGACGTTTTAGGTGAATCGAAACAAAAAGTCGCTTGCCTTGTCGTTTAAGGAGAAACAAGGTGCTGACATCTTGCGCGAGTTGGCAAAGAAAGTTGATGTTGTCGTGGAGAACTACCTTCCTGGCTCGCTGAAGAAGTACGGCTTGGACTATGAGACGCTGAGAAAACTCAATCCCAAGCTCATTTACGCGAGCATCACCGGCTATGGCCAGTTCGGACCATACAGCGATCGCGCGGGCTATGATGTTATGGTTGAGGCGTAAGTGTTACGTCCCCTGACATGATGCAAGCGCTGACAAACATTCACCAGAGAAATGGGGTTGATGCACATCACTGGGCCTCGCGATGGTCCTCCTGTCAAGGTTGGGTGTGCTGTGACTGATCTGACGACGGGAATGTACGCAACGACAAGCATTCTGGCGTCACTGCTTGAACGGAATCGATCCAATCTGGGTCAGCATCTCGACATATGTCTCAGCGATTGCCAGGTTGCCACGCTATCTAACATGGCGCAGTCAGTGCTCATCACGAAGGAGAGAGATAGCGGACGTTGGGGAACAGCTCATCGTGAGTCAGTCATCTCAAAAGATTCCAGCCCAGCACTGACCTATTGATCAGCCTCCGTCGTTCCTTACAGAGCGTTCAAGTCATCGGACGGTGACATTCTTTTCGGGGGAGGCAACGATCGATTGTTCGCCATCCTGGCCAAGGGCCTAGGCAAGCCGGAATGGGCTACGGATGATCGCTTTGCAACCAATTCAGCCAGAGTCAAGTACAGAGATGTGCTAGAGAAGTGGATTGAAGAGGTCACTCGCACAAAGACCACCCAAGAGTGGCTTGATATCTTCGACGGCACTGGCTTGCCGTATGCCAAGGTCAATGATCTCATGGACACCACCCAGCATCGTCATGGTAAGCAGAACATTCACTCTAATCTAGAGACCTCACTGCCGGCTAGCTGCTAAATCTTCATCGTAGTGAGAGCAAGGAATATGATCGTCGAGATAGACCATCCGTCCTGTGGACCGATGGAGCTTATCAACTCGCCAGTGAAATATTCCAGATCGCAACCGACAATTCGATCCGCGCCTCCTCTTCTTGGGCAACATACTGACGAAGTTCTGAAAGAGGAACTTGGTCTAAATGATGCAGCTATTGCCTCCCTCCGCCAAGGTGGTGTGGTTCGGTAAAGTGACCGCTACACCCATGACATTCTTAGAAAGAATGGCAACATGCTACCCATCACGTAGGGGTAAATCAAGTGGACCAACATACATGCTGATTGTTAGAATTTGACCTGCATTCTTAGACTGCCTGTTTAATTGTAAATAGATCTGTCTCCTTCCAGGCCGGGACCTTATTTGTTGGGCCTATTGAGTCAGTGCTCAGGGGAAAGTTGGTCAAGGGGATATCTTCGTGAAAGTTGCCAGCATCAACGAAGCGCGTACAGACAGTGCGCGAAACGGGACCTACGATCACTGACCATGTTTCTGGGTACTTGCGTCTTCGCAGCCATTTGAGCTGCTTCGTGTACCTTGCATCTCCAATAACAAAAGAGGAGTCATTTGCTGTCATCTCAAGAGGCAATTGATCTCATGTCGTCTCATGTCGATTGCGCTTCGTCACTCCAGCGCGCAGTAGTCAAGCGATCTTACCCACAGTGCAGAACTGTCGCTATTGCAGTAAGTGGGCATCAAGGGTAGCGAGCTCGGAATGCGTAAGCTAAACCTCTCCTGTCGAGAAGGATCAAGAGAATTCAAGGTACGCCGGGTGTTACTTGCATCATGAGGCTTACGTTTGGGGGCCGTGGCGAGAATAGCTCGCTAAAAATAGACGCCTGGGAAAGCTCCCGCTGTAAATTGGCCGTCCAGAGACTCAATTCTTACAAATAACAATCTCGTCGCAATCAAGCAACAGCCGTTCCTCACCTTATCTCAAGACTCGAAACGTTCAATCTAAAATCGAATCACAACGTCAAAAGAGATGGCGTTCGCGTATTTTCGCTCGCATTTGGTGGCGCGTAAGGGAACCAGATCCCCTGCCCGCTATCCCGACTCCCACGCAATTGCTTCAACGATGCGACCACAGCCAGAAGCCGCGACACTCATGCAACTGCCTTTGGAGATAAGGATTGCAATACTCGAAGAGGTGTGGAATGATGCCGGGTTCGCCCAGCACATCATACACCGCAAAGGCCGATATATGCGTGCGAAATGCGTGACCGACCACGCAGCCCCTGACGAACTCATGGAAGAATGCGCCAAGCGTCGAACAAGCCGGTTCGAAGACAAAGAATTGTGGCAACGCATGCAATCAAGTTGGGGTAATCACTGGAGATGTGAAGAAGAGTATGGCCGAGAGGCAACGTCAAGCGTAGCCCTTGGAGATGGCAAATGCTGGAGTAATCCGTTTCTGGCCATTCTGTTGGTCTGCAAGCAGTTTTACATCGAAGGCCGCACATCCATCTTCAGCTTCGTCAACTTCGTTATCCACGACATCAACACTTTACACAGCCTGACAGCTGTTGGCACGCCGCCATTGTTATCCTCTATAAGAACCTTGAGCCTCTCGATTCGGTTGCCCATCAGGCGCGAGTCCAAGATGAAAATGAGCAGCGAGGCCCATGCCATACTGAGACGTTGGCGTGAGTGTTGTGCCTCGTTGGACCAGGCCGCGGAGAGAAAGACTCTGGTATCGGTGGACTTGTGGCTCGACACGAGCGAGCCGACCTGGCGTGGCGTGCTAAGTACTGTGCCGGATGGACCTGCGAGCCCGTTCATTTTTGGCGAGCATCTCGCGAAAGTTTTGACAGTAGATTTGCCAGTTAATCCTGAGAAACCAGCAGTATGGGGGAGGGTGGCAGAAATTGAGCCCCATTTCACTGTCCGCCCGCGCGGCTGGCCAGGATTCAGAGTGGGGGACACAACAGAAAGCTCAGCTCATACTATCATACGCCTGTGGGATAGTGCAGAGCCCGGGGTCGAACAGTCAGAGCCAGTATATAGTGTTGGCTTCTCTCATCGTAGGCCTTGGTATCTCCGCGGTATCTGATCATATTCAATCCTAAATACACTTTCATGATCGTTCTCAAGGACTGGCATAAAGTGAAGGAGCTTGGAGTCTGCCCGGATGCATGAGCCACCTTTGGCGTATAGAGTCACAAAAAACAGTGAATTAAAGTGGTCCCTTTTCCATGATACATCGACGGGGAATGGATTGCACGGCGTAAAGCAGCAACGGAGAGGCAAGGGGGTCATTCAGATCTCAGTTGAATCGCACAAAGCTTTACCAAGTATGCCATATTTCAATTGTAAGACTACACAGCGAAATCAGTAGGGCTACGAGAATTTGTTCAGCTTTCCCTTGTCATCTACGTCATATCCGTAACCCTGGATCAAATCGACTACCAGGGCGAAGTAGGCCAGGCTGTCTGCAAATAGCGCATTAGTATCTCGTTCTCTTGTAATTATGAAGAAACGCACTTACCAGCATTCTTGAAGCTCTTCATCCTAACACAGTTCAGCCACCCGTAACTGTTCCTTCCTTCCGAGTCTACCGCATCTGCAACTGCAAGCAAATGAGTCAACTCATGCAGCATCGTGAGCTCAGGCGTAGCTAGAATGTCAACAGCTCCGAAATCGAGCCCCGGCAGCTTCACTTTGACCTTGTCCCAAAGCGAGGGGTAGGCTGCCTTCTCGACACGATCGTGATTGAGCATTGAGTTCTTTTCTGTGCTCTTCTTCATGTAGCGGGGGTGGAACGCAATGTACTCGGGTGAGTGTTCCGGCCAAGGTTGCTCACGCGATATCGGACGCGAGTCCTTTGTGACCGCCAATGTGAAGCTTAGGGGGTTCTTCAGACTCAAAATGCCATCTTTGTCGGTAACGGGCAGGTCCTGTGCTGTATCACGCCACTTGATGTTCTTCTCGGGGTTGTTGGGGTCTTCCACAACGTGGTCTGCGTTGCAGAAGATCTCCTAGAGAAAGATATGCTCTGATTAGCTAACAAGTAACTAACGGAAGTAGGTCACCATCGAATTCGCTTACCAGGTCTCCTTTGTCTCTCCCTTGCCTGTATTCATCCGCCCAGATGTCCACGTCTTGATAGGCGTACTTGGTGACCTTCTGGTAGATCCCTACATCCGTGATCATCTCATCAGTCAACCATTTCTCTGCAATATGAAAGATTTTGTTGCTTTTACTGACCATGTAACAGCCGGGCGGTGGGTACGCCATCTGAAGGAAACAACTGTCTCATCTGAGCCAAGATGCGATCATCTGGCTTGTTGTTCGGATCGTCAAGGTACGGACCCAATGCGTCGACGACCCGCTGCGATTGGGCTTGGGATTGATCCATGTAGAATTTGACCTGGTCATACATGCCGTCCTCTATGTCGAGATATTAATGCTCGTATTCTGGGTAGGATAGCGGAGAAACTCACTGCAACTTTTCTTGTCTATGGCATACTTCCACTCTGCGACTGAGACTTGCGCCAGGGCAAGCAGCATGAGACTTTTCAACATGATGTCTAGAGGGTCCGTGGGAACAACGATAACAAGTGCTAGAGAGTCTTTGGATGGAACTCCTTACTCTTTGAGGACCTTCTTAGCCAGATAGCTTGTGATTAAATACAAAAACGACATTGCTGCTCATGGATTGATTCCGTTTATAGAAACCTTCCCCCCTGATGTAAATCAGAGCAAACACGTAGGGAAAGTCTTCTCGTGGGGTCCAACACTGTATAAGATCCGAGAATAGTTTCATCCATCTTCAGCTCAGTGTTCCTTCCGCCGGCTGTGTAGAGCTCATGTGAGAGGTGCCGCAATTACCTGATATTCAACATGATGAATTATTTCAAAATCCTTGGCTATCATTACCGCTTCCTTCAATTGTCGTGGCAAAGATTCACTCAGCGCACTTGGCTGACTTTGGTGGCCCTGATTGGACGAGAAACCTGATTTCCAGCAGCGCGGGGGCCAAAGGAAGCGGCAAAAAGCGGCCTACCCACCCCGGGATGTCGGCATCACGCAAAATTGGGGGCTGTGTAACCACGAACAGGTTACAGAAGCTCTCTGACAGGAACATCACCCTGGCTAGACCAAGCTCTAGCGCGGTCCATCACGAGAAACGGAGCCCATCTTGACTGGCTCACGAGGCAAATAGCTCGAACTCGTCTGAGTCGCGGAAAACGCAGGCCTGTGAGGCTTGATCCGCCGCTGGCTAGGCGATGTCACCCCATGCTTATGTTTCTATCATAGCTAGTCAGGCAGGCGCACCCTTGCAGAAGCTCGCCAAAGCAATTACGCCCCTGTGAGATGGATTTAGAACCACTCACTATGAGGACGTCATGCTCCCGGGTGGTGAACATGTCCGCCACACCTTTGAGGTTGTGAAGAAGGATGCAAACACTGTGCAGAATCCTTCATCGACTGCGGAATGTCACAGACACTGGTTGTATGCAGATGAAGTGCTGATGACCTGTGGAATCGTAGAGAGAGATAGCCGTCAGAGCAATGGGAGCTTTTATTACAAAAGGGCCACTCCCTCTCTTGTATTATACCAATATGGAGGACATGATTCCCAAAACTTGACTTGTCTTGTACTCGAATTCGTTCCACAGCCAGTTTTGCAACGTCACAGCTGCCCATGATGTTCTTGAAGGCTCCCCTTCTCCTTGCCTTTTCGGCTGTTCCATTTTGTTTAGCCCAGGATGCTTTGCCCTCTCAGACTCTCAATCCAATTGATGGTATAAGAGTCGCGGCTATTAGACCAACCGAGGCTGGCCAGATCGGCATTGATCCTGTCGATATTCCACCTGATGAGAGCATGTAAGTGGGGCCTCAAACAAGAATGTAGCAAGGCCATTGAGCTCACACCAGTCTCAGGAAGGCGCCAATCGGTGTTGATACACAGTACCTTACAGAGCTCGTTACAGACCAGCAGACAAAGACAGCAGTAAGTTCACAGCACCGACACACGTCATCCTGATTGGTCCTTGTTGACAATGTATAGTGGGTGCATTCAGAAAGCGCTTTCGGCGTTGCCACGATCACAACTAAGGGCCCGGATGGCTCGCCGCAGACAACCACAATTCCCGAAGGCTTCCGTGTGGCCATGGTTGACGGCAAGGTTGAGGTCACCCTCAGCCAGTGGCTCAAGGATAAACTCAACGGCCTGTCCCAGCAACTTCCCAGCTGTTCACTTAGGAAACGCCGGGAATGGGACTACCGCCAACATAACGTCATCGAACGTCGAGCACCTCCCGACATTCCTTGTGTACGCCAGCGTGTGAATCGCCTGAACCAGCTGCTTCGCGAAGATCCCGACACAATGCGCCAGATGGTGCGCCTCAATGAGCAGGTAGCCCAGGCGTCGGGCTCTGATGCTGTTGCTCTCGCAGAGAGCGAGCAAATGATGGCCTTTGCCGAAGAGGACATTGTTTTCGAGATCATCCATGTCTACGAGGTTGTGGAGATTACCCCGACGGCTGGTGAATTGTTGGCTACCGTTGGAGAAGGGGTCCTCGGCGTACTCGGATCCATTGCCTTCTTTTTCGGCACGGTCAACATTCTTGAGGACTTGTGGAAGCTGCGCGCCGATCCGCAGCCCATGCCTTTCTTCAAAAACAACAAGCCCAATGAACCATCCGATCCCGGGTCCTGTCCCGAAGCCCAACCAGCTTGTGAGGGAGAGCGTTGTAAGGGCGGCAGCAACGCAAAGTGCACAGCCGAGTGGAAAGACTGCGATTGTGTTGTGTCGTCCGTGACGTTTGAGGATGGGGCTTTCTTTGGTGACGCCTGGGAAGCTGTGGAAGACGAGGTTTCGCAATTCGTCTTTGGCTCTGACCCAAATGCTGATATCCCGAAGCCAAACTGCCAAGTAGGGACTGGCGAAGATAACACCCTGGCAAACGTTGAGTCTGACGTTTGGTCAAAGTACGTATTGCGCCATCTTTTCTATACAATTGCTTTCGCAACTACTAAGAGTCCCAATCCTTGCTAACACAAAGACAGACTACTCGATAACCTTTGCGTTGGCAAGACCTTGCTCTCAGGCGGCATTCATGAGACAAAGAAGACCTCCGATATTGGGCTTACATCATACGAAGGGTGGGAGTTTGAGTTCATCCTCGAAATGAGCCGTGAGAAAGACTGCTCAGCCTACAATTGCGTTGATGTCTTCGGAAAATTTACCTCATGTGCGTGACAGCTTCCAACCCCCCGTCTCGATATTTTCGTGTCACTCAGCGCTGGCCACGACTCAAAATTCCACTGACACGTGTACAGGCTCATACGACTCGCACACCAAGTACAAAACCGGTGAACTCCCGCTCGACTGCGGCACTGCCAAGTACATCATGCATGACCCCAAGGACTCGGAGCCAGAGCCTGATCCGACCCCCGCCCCACCGCCGAAGACGTCCCTTACGCTCCAGAACGACTTCTGCTACGGCCGCGACGACTTCGGCAGCCACGGCGACGTGCATGAGAGCTGGGTGTCGCAGTACAGTGGATGGGCTTGTGCCGGCACGGCGCTCAAGACAGTGCAGGCCGGCAAGCCCGACACCTTCTTGGAGTTCTACACCGTGACCAATGACGCACCTTACTGGTACAAGGTTTGGTGGAAGGATGGCTGTGAGCTTGAGGGCGGCCAGACGGAGGCATATGCTTCCAATCCGCTGATGGAGGAGAACCCAGGATATACCAAGTGCCAGGAGATCTTGATCGACAACTACAAGAGGTGCAACAATGGAGGCGTAGGCGGCAATATCCAAGCCGGGTGCCTGGTGTATGAGTTCAAAGCTCAGCGCAAGGAGTAGAAATACCTGGTGTAAGACTTGATTTGACCGAATTGCAAGTTTGTACTTTGTTTATAGGTGAATTGAATGGCGTTGTCTTCAGTTCGTCCCTTGGACGTGGTGACTTGATAAGACTGGTTCGGTAGCCATGTCCACTGAAGGCGTGTATTTAGTAACAATTGAGGCGTCACAGGCAGGAGAACACAAACATTCAACCATTGGACCACCTCTCGGGTATTTCATCTTAGTCTAGATACATTGTAAAGACTTTTTGCAGGGCGCGGCAACCTTTACAGGTACCGTAACTGGCGAGACAATTGGACAAGAAACCCTTAAACCTCTTAAGTTGATTACCATCTGCCTCATAAGCAGCAGTCAGTTTCGTCAGGCAATCTCAGGGTTTGGAATAATGCACCTATGTTCAGTTTAACCATCGGGTACCATAAAGTTACTTGTTAGAATTGAATCAAATATGTAAGTATGAATCTCCGCTCCAGGACGATTTTGGAGTTCGTAGAGGTACCTCTTTGGACTGAAGAAACCAGCATGACCTGAGCGACAACAACATCATGTCAAGAAGACCACCACGCCACTCGCTTAATTGCCGATTTTCCCCACGCCGGCATTGTTCTTCACGTTGGTAGGCACGTTCTCTACCTTCCAGTGAGACCATGTGATAGCGCTCTTGTGCTGACCGAGTTTCTGTAGAGCTTCCTGGTCCAGACGGACTTTGGGCACGCCACTACTACCGCCGTTTCGGTTCCATTCAGGAATGTAGCCAAGCGCGCTCTGTGCTTTGGCAGCATCCGCTACCTGACGAATATCGTAGATCTTAGCGCCGCCACCGCCGCTGCCCGCAGAGACAGGCTCCTTGACGTTATCGAAGTAGTTCCCTTCAAGTAGACTCCAAGCGTTGCCCTGGATGTCAAGAGCGTGGCCATCGATGTTCTGGAAATAATTGTTGACGACGTGAACGACGTTTGACGAGCTGTCACCGGTGCCCAGGTGGGGCGAACGGCCGGACAGGTCGTGCAACCAGTTGCCAGCAAAGGTATAAAAGTCGTTGGCGCCGATCAACAGCAGGGCCCAATAGTGCTTGTTGTTGCAAGAGACGGACCATGACGTCCTGCCGTCAAACTCGTTGTCGGAAATCGTCACCTTTCCGGCAGCGCCCCAACCAGAAACAATCATCTGCCGACCGACCAGAGAAAACTTGTTGTGGTCGATCCAGACCCTGTCAGCTCCATCCAGGGTGATAGCATCACCGCCCCAGACGTACTGAGGGTTGAGCTCAGTGAAGTGGATATTCTGGATGATGATGTTGCTCACACCGCCGCGCAGACGGAGTGCCTTGCCGCGAATGATACCTTTGCTGCCTACACCGACGATGGACTTGTTGCTCTTGACATCGATAGGATTCTTAGGGGCATTCCAGTAGGTGCAAGGAACCCAGGTACCGCCGTCGCATGTATTGCCAATGTAGGACTGAGGCTGTAAGCCGTTGCTGCAAGTGTTCAGGCGGCAACAGCGCGTGTTTACGCTCCCTTCTGTTTGAAGGAAGTCAAAAGTGCGATCGATCATGATGACACGGGGTTGGCTGTCAGTGAGGTAGCTGACGAGTCTGAGCAGCAGTGGTTAGTCCGAGGTGCATCTTGGCCAAGCCCGTAGATGAGAATACTGTCAAGCATACTGTTGATTGTTTTGGGGATAGACTGGTCCCGCACTACCACCGCCCGTGGTGCCGGAAGCAAAGCCGAATGGGGTGCCTCGATGCTGGGCTATCGCCACGGGCACCGCCGCCAGGATGGAAAAAAGAGCGTAAAGTTTCGTCATGACTACGAGTTGAGATGCAGTTTCAACCGGATCCCTTGGACGACGTAAAAGCGGGTGCGACCTATATAGCATGTTCCCATCCCGTCTTCGATGCTTCTCATTCTCTGGTGATCCCAAGCTAAGCTGTCTACATGTTCCCCCGCTTGATGGAGTGTGGCACTCTTGGCATAAGACAAGGGTACTGGAGAAAATCCATAAACTAGTGTCGCAGGTTAAAGTAAGTGGCGCAGGCTGAAGGGCTACGGAACAAGTCAAACGGACAGGTCTACAATTGCTCCGAACGCCGTTTTCCGCAACCACGGCCGGTGTTCAATCATCACTGCATGCTGCCGAGTATTTCTCCGGTAGTTGCTTCCGCATGTCTTCTCAAAAAGGTAAACAGTTCGCTTCCATCATGTAGCCCAAGGTCGGGGCTGTCGCACAATCATTCAGCCCTGAGATGTTGTTCGGGCATGGCAGTCTTCAGCGACTCGCGTCTCGTAATGATAATTCGGAGATTGTTCTCGAACCTGACACCTGCCCCGTGCTTGGCTTTAAAGATATTGTCCGAAGTACCCGCCGCATCCGCGTACCCTTCATGTGTTCATTTGAGAAGTATATATCATCTGGCATGAGAGATCATGGGACATATTTTCTGCCTTGCCACAAGTCTTCATGTGATATAATCTACAATGCTATCTGCGCCCGCATGCAGCTCCAGAGCGTTGTCGGTCGTCTTACAAGGAAGTCTTGTGGAAAGGCAGGCAACAGGTAAGCGGGGAAAGGGAACTCCATGTATCCACCTTCGACTTGGCCATTGGCCGCCATGTGTCGAGGCCTTCATATGCGCGTCCTGAGTTTAGGACTCGATGATGAGTCCAGAACCTTCCAGGATCAAAGTGGCATTTAGCTTAGCAATGTACTGAGTCGCAGGTAACAAGTTTCTGTAAATGTGTCAGATAACCATAAGATGATAAGTTCGCCACGGGATGGCCCTATCGAGTGCCCCGTGATCAACGTCCTGGACCATGTTGCAGAAATGGGGGTTGGAACGACATCCAAGAAAACCAACGTATGAATTTCGCGATAGAATCAACGTTTGAACAGGTTTGTGAAGGAAAAACTACCTGGACTTGCTATACTTGAGAGCGCAACCGTCGTGGATTACCCCCGGGGTAGCTCAGTGGGTCAACACTTATAAATACGGTTAAGAAGGCCGCGTGAAGGAGCTAAGCACCAGGGAGCTGGGTATGACGGCCTCAATCACGCTGCGGAAAACATGAAAACCCGCTCAAGGACTACCACGCTACTTAAAGAGCCAGTAGAAGCCCCTATCTATACCTTGTACTCAACGAAAGTAAAACACGTATACATTCCCCCTCTTTATAAGGCAAAACAAAAACATTCATAGATGTGTGGCGTCTCTAGCCGACTACCCCCGACAAGGACGCGTGGCCGATAGCCTATAGATAATTGACATACACTACACACCAGGATACGATGGCTGCGTAGATGAATTCTACGTCGGGCGCGCGGATAGTATCTTCCGCAACCTAAACCACTACTACTAGGGGTTGGTACGGATACGCCCGGTCAGTGGTATATGGCGACCGATGGACTCCACAAAACCTGGTACGGGGAGCAGCCGATGGTCAACTTTGGTCACATGTACCTGTGGGACAAGGAAATCCGGTGCGAGTGCGAAGTCTGCGCGAGTCCAATATTGAGAGACCTCACGCACAATATGTTGAAGCAGCCACAGCAGCCGCAGCCGTCCATCAATCAGCCGCTTATGGCACTCAAGTTGGACTTTCATTATCTATGAGAGAGGAAACGGGATTACACTCGGTCCACCCACGGTTCTACCACTCGCCAGCTTCCAACGGTCACTTTGCAACCACCTCTGGTCGCTGCTTGGGCTCCGTCCCCCGTCACCCCTGTGCCCTTGCTCAAACCCTGCCTACACATTGTACTTTGTCCTGATTAGCTCATAGTTGGCGCGCATCAGCAGCTGGCAGGTCTCGCCTCCCTTAGAAGACGCCCTCCAAACACCGTTGAAGCTGCGGGCCCTTTTCTGGGTCCAGTCGGCATCGTTGCGGATGTCACGGCTGCCGATGTGAAGTTCAGGGAAGCCGCTGGCTCTCCTCGCCCGGTAGAGGGCGTTGGCGCCCTTGTTGGAACCGGCGATGACCAGGTTCTGCCAGCGGCTGTGGAGCATGAAGCTACCGGCCTCGCGGTCGCCCCAGCGGTAGATGGCCTGCACGCCTCCCGACGTGGGCCCGTTGGGGCCCGTGTGATTCTGCCTCTTGTGCTTCATGCAGGTTTTTCCGCCCAGGCTTCCGCGGTGGAAGAATACGTCCTTGCCGACACGAACGCTCTGTCGTTTGGTGAGGCCCTCTTCGTCTACATCCTCGTCGTCGTCGACCGCCTCGGTAGAGTCATTCTCGTCGTCGTCGTGCGCGATGTAGTCGCGGGCGACCCAGATCGTGACGTGATCCCCGTCATCACGCTTCATGAGGGAGTGCCTGTACACTACGAGCGAGACGGTAGTCAGTATCCGCCAGAATTATTACCGCTATCAGATAGGGTCATGCGACTCACTCTCTGTCAGGTTGACGCCGTGAGCATCAGCGAGCTCAAGGTCACGGGGCCCCAAGACGTCGTCGCGCTTGAAGAGGGTCGTCTCTTGCAAGCCATGGGAGAGGTCAGACATGTCGGCGTCCGGCAGGGCCAGGGCCATGGTCGCGGCAGCGAAGAAGCCGGGGAGGAGAATGGTTTGGAAATGCATTGTGGAACGTAGCTGAGAGGGGAGTATTGAGGTGGTGGTGATGGTATACTTTGTATGAACATAATTATGGTCTTGAAGCCGGGAACCGTGGCATTTTATACGCTTTGCTGCCTGCTTCCCTGATCTTCTTCCGTTCTCTAGACTCAGTCGTCGTCCAGGTTGAGACCTAATGATTGAGTGGCTGGTCCGGTGGGCCACATGGAGTGACAGCGAAGGGAATCGCCGTGCCCTCAGAGATCAAGGATTCAGACCAGGTGAAGACTCTCGTAACATGCTGAAGACCGTTGATTGATCTTCTTGGCCTGTAGGAATAGATGACCCGAATCCGTCTTGTCCGCCCCCAAATACGCGTCGCTGACAATTATCGTCGTCGACGCAACGTCTTGGCCGTTGTCATCTGCAACATCGCGGGATTCGGCAGTGCTGCCCAGGTGGCCAAGACTGACCTATGCGTTCCGCAGCAAATCTCACTTGCGCTGCGCCGGGAACTGCGAATTGCGATATGGGGTCAGAAATCTCGACTCTCCTTTCCCTTGCGGACAATTGACCATAATCCGCTTATTCCGTGCATGGAGAATCCATGGATGCGTGCCCCTGCAGAAGAGCCTCGCCCCCGCTGGACAGTTGTCAATGGGGGCCGTTTGCTGTCGGATGCATCAACATCCGGGAGGCTCACAATGGAGGCTCACAGCCAAACAGCCACTACAGCTACTCACTACTGTAGCACGATAAGGATCCAGCTGTCGGGGTCCCTCGGACAGATTGTTTCCTACTGCGACATCGCCACCGACGAGGTATCCAGTAATCACAGTCCATCTCATTTTCTGTCTTCCAGAGCAAAGCGGTAGGCCAGAAGCCTTAGTGATAGGAGAGAACACAAAGTCAACACAGCAGATGAAGAAGCGAAGGCATTTTTACCAAACCCTGTTGATGCGTTGACATCCGGAGGCGAGGCAGCTCCGAGAATAGAAGCCGTAGAGCAGGCTGGCGAAGGTGATTTTTGAAGCTCGAGAAATAAATCGGAGGGCTGAGACTATATTTTGCTGTGGCTATGATTGACCCTTTCAGCTTGTGTCAGTCCCACCCGCCTGACTCTCCACGGCGTGGTAGAGCTGCCATTCTGCTGATCCTCTGCGTGAAATCATCGCGTGTCTATCTACTCGACTAACTTGCGACAAGATCGAATTTTAAGCTGGATTCTTTAAAAGGCTATGTCTGCCCGACGATAGGAAAGGTAGGCAGATGAGTTTGCACATAACTGTACACACACCGTCCAGCGTTTCTGCCGCCAGTTGGAAATCGAATCAAGTCGCAATTGGCGTGACTCTTGAAACTGCCGTATACTCCTCACCTCGGGCATTTGTGGAAATAGGCATGATATTAGAAGAACAACAAAGTTATAGATGATGTGCATTAGTCTGGCTGAAAAGTCCTGTTTATCGACTTCGTCCTAGTCATTGCTCCTACACGACGGACCGTTGATTTAATGTATGCGTTGTCTTAGTTTTTAATACCATTTAGGAATTTCCTCATGTGAAGCATAGTACTGCAGTGGACTGAATGGAAAGGTGGACTCTCGATCACCCTTCTTAAAAGATGGTGGACATCCCAGGAAGCTACCAATGTAAATTTTAGGTTCGGCGAGGGATTAATGGCATTTGATGCATGAAATAACTTGCACATAAGTATGAGTATTGATTGACGGCGTGATGAAGCCTTTAGCCTCCATCGCCATGGAAGTAACTCAGTCTAAAGACCTCCATGGAAGGCGGCACAAAATGTCCCTCCCTCAGTAGGCCACATGGAGATTCTCTGCGATGGGCCCATTTGTCAGGAGATCTCTGCGGAGCCACGGCAGAGGGGACTAGTAACAGACAAAGAGTCACGAGGGCGTATGTGTAAGGACCGCGGAGGGTCAGAATTTAGATGTGTCCCGACCTCCTACATATATACTATTGCCTCGAACCACGTGTGAAAGACCTCTTCACTCTGCCCCAAATCAAGCACTGACACCCTTTGTCAGGAGAAGGTAATTAGCAGAGTGACAAGGTCTCCCGCAGGCGATATACGCAGTCGATCGATAGATATGAAACAAGAACACATCTGATGTCTGTCCCTATACAGCCCTCATATAGGCGCTCCCGTGGTCTCCAGCCACTAACCAGCCTCCTGATCCGCAGTTGCCTCATGACAGTCTTCAAACTAACTGAAGAAAAGTGACGAGTGCTGCGAGGTGTTGTGTCTGGGCAAACATCATACCCTATCACACACTGAGGCAGACGAAATGGATGGCACTTGCCGGGCAGAATAGCAATGCACGTCTGGTGAGCTGCACCTGATCTTAATAATCAATACGGCCAAGTGCTGAAACAGGCAGACATATACACCGCGCTGAGCTGATGTTCTGAAGTTCTCATGAGTCAACCTTCTGGTGCGGCTCGGCCACGTCCTGGCATGCGTACTCAAAACAACGCAAAGTCCATGCCCTGCACGTCCTCAGCCGGCCGAAGTCTGGACGGGGCGCTTCTAGATCTCATGACACTAATGCCGCAGAGCTGCCTTCGTGTCCATCATGCATTCGTGTGGCACAGGAACTGGGTACTGAGGGCTAAGTACTGAAGCGGAAGTCCAGACGTTCTGAGGCAGACTTCCATAGACGACAACATAACTTAGATCATGTCGAATACGACCTTGGAACGGAAGCAATACTGCCGATCTCTGCTGCGAATGTGACGCGCCGCGGGGGGCTTCAAACCACATGACTGATGGCTGTAGCACTTTATGAATATATTTTGAGGAACTTTTGTTCATCGCTAGACATTGAGGCGCCACGAATGCAAACTGTTACTGGCAGTAGCCCTTAACATTCGTCAGCGGAGCCAAGCTTTCCGGGGCACGCTTGGTTTGACCTGCAGGTCCAACGAATTGTCATTCTCTTCGTCGGCGTTGTTAGCCAAGAAGAGTACGCTGAGGCTGAATGTAAATGATATCGCCATTTCATTGACATGCATTTTCATGTGCGAGCCATATGCAAGTAATATCAGACGGGCGCGCACTACGACATTGGGGACGGCGAACTTGACCAATATCACTGTCTATGACAATGCCACTACAATCGCAGACTGGGGTCTTGGTTAATAAATAAGGTCGTCCTCCGGGGGTTCATCTCGAATGGCATGCGCAAAATCAAGACTGCCACCCACGACTTCATACTTCTGACACGATGAAAACGGCCGTCATGCTTGGGCTTCTGGCCCCCTTCGCCTTCGGGAACTGTACGTTTTGTGCACGCCAATGAACTGATTCGTTCTCTAACCACATAAGAATAGATCTTTTTCGAAGCATCACAGTGAACCGTGGACGTTCGGCCGACTGGGAATTCGTTCGTGAGACCGCCAACAATCCCGCCAGCAACCCCATCGAAGACGTCAGCTCGCCGCTTCTAAGTTGTTATGAGAAGATTGGGCGCCCAGTCTCGGCTGTGCAGACTGTGGCACCGGGCACTCGCATCAGATTTCCCTCCAGCGTTCCAATCGGGCACCCCGGTCCAGTGCTATTCTATCTGGCCCGTGTGCCCGATGGCCAGGATGTCAACTCCTGGACGCCCACCGGCGATGTCTGGTTCAAGGTGGATCAGTACGGTAACACGCCCGGTGTGAACAATCAGTTCGCTGTCGAGATGACCGAGGTCTTCACGACGATCCCAGCAAGCCTCCGCCCTGGCAACTACCTTCTCCGCGCTGAGCACATCGCACTCCACTCCTATCAGAAGCCACAGTTCTCCCTCGCTTGTGCGCAGCTTCAAGTCACTGGCTCTGGCCCTGATTTTCCGGAATCATTCGTGTCCTTCCCAGGGGCATACAAGGCTGATGATGTTGGTCTGTTATTCGACATCTACGCGGGCACAAACAACCCGTATCCCTATCCTGGCCCGGCCGTATGGGTTCCTTCAACTCCTCCGCCGACACCACCCCCTGCCACGACTCTTGTAACTCGCACTACAACTGCGGTCCCGCAGCCAACGGGCCCGGTGTGTGCACGCTTGTGGGCCCAGTGTGGCGGCCAAGGCTTTGTAGGACCAACCTGCTGTGCTGCTGGGACGTGTATCAAGCATAACCAGTGGTTCAGTACTTGCCTGAACAGCTGAGCTGACCGTGTGGAGGGCAATAACAGCTTTTCGCGAGTTTCTGGCAGCATTGAGCTGCTAATCCGAGAAGCAAAAGAGTAGTTAGATGGACTGAAGTGCGTGGCGATACGTCATGGTACTCCAAAAACTTGACAGAGTTAGTTAGAGTACCACAGCACCTTCGTATCAAGACGTCAATAGTTGTGCAAATTTCGTTGAGCTAGCCTCTTAGCAACGACTTTGTAGAGAACAATGTCATAGCACGTTGAATCTAACACAACTCCCTAATCCCTCCCTCCGGATCTATTTATTGTAACGGCAGCGAAG